AATAGATGAATGGATTAAAAAACTGTGGCATTTATACGCAATGGAGTATTACGCAGCACTAAAAAAATAACAAAATCATGGATTTTGCAGGGAAATGGATGGCATTAGAGCAGATAATGCTAAGTGAAGCTAGCCAATCCTTAAAAAACAAATGCCAAATGTCTTCTTTGATATAAAGAGAGCAACTAAGATCAGAACACGGAAGAAGAGCATGAGGAAAAGACTAATATTAAACAGAGACGAGTGGGGTGGGAGAAAGGGAGAGAGAAGGGAAACTGTATGGAAATGGATGGAGACCCTCATTGTTATACAAAATTACATATAAGAGTTTGTGAGGGGAAAGGGGAAAAAAAAACAAGGGAGAGAATCAAACAACAGCAGATGGGGTAGAGAGGGAAAATGAGAGGGAAGGGGAGGGGGGATAGTAGGGGATAGGAAAGGTAGCAAAATACAACAGTCATTAATATGGTATTATGTAAAAATGTGGATGTGTAACCTATGTGATTCTGCAACTTGTATTTGGAGTAAAAAATGGGAGTTCATAACCCACTCGAATCAAATGTATGGAAGATGATATGTCATGAGCTTTATAATGTTTTGAACAACCAATAAAAAAATAAAATAAATAAAAAATTTAAAAAATGGATATAAAAAACTACATTTATATATAAAATCCACATGTACACACTTGTTATATATAAGTATAGACATATTTGTATAAATACATACAAGTATATAAGCAGTTTTTTTTGTTTATTTTTAAAAACCATCTTAAGAAAGGATCATTTATGTTGAAGAGGTCATCACTATGATGCTGAGGCAGCCACCATACCTAGGGTTTTAAAAGAAAGATGCTGTAAGTGTAAGTGCTGGCAGACTTTCAAGGCCAGGCTCAGTAATTTAGCAAGGTGCTGTCTTAAAAATGAAAACTGCCAAGGATATACCTCAGTGAAAAAGCAACCCTGGATTCAAACCCCCAAAATTTTATTTATTTATTTTTTTATTGCCATTTACAATAACATGGATGAAGCTGGAGAAATTCATGTTAAGTGAAATTATCAAAGACACAGAAAGAAATACATTGTATACTCTGTGTGTGGAACCCGACCCCCAACCAAAAAGATAAGATGAATGCATAGAAAGAGAATAGTATATATTAAAGGACTATAGTTAACAATATTGCCTCACATACCAAAAATACCAAAGACAATAAAATTTTAGATATGAAGTAATTATGTGAGATGATGGACTTTATTAACATATCAAGAGTACATATTAATGGGATGCAGTATGATATTTTCATACATACATTTGCAGTTATTAATAATATCCATATGCCCTTATTCCATCCTTGATGCCCCAGCACCCTCCCAAGCCATAGTAATCAATATTCTATTTTCACATAAATTTTATTTTAGTTATTATATATAAGAGATGAAGGCTGGGGATATAGCTCAGTTGGTAGAGTGTTTGCCTCGCAGGCACAAGACCCTGGGTTCAATCTCTGGCACCACAAAAAAAAAAAAAAAAAGGTGATATATCATCCAATTACATCTATTTTCCTTAACATTAAAGGATTTTATTTCTATTCAGGTCTGGATAATACACCCAGTACCACTGACATACACAGTATGAATATATAATAATACACTTTCTGATTATTAAGTTGCTCAGCTATATCACTGATATTTCTCTTTATATGTAATACTAAGCACAGTTATACAACTTAAATTTATACAAAAAAAGGAAAGAAGCAACAGCAATAAAATATAAGAAACTGTCCTTTGGCCCAATTTTATCAAACTGAAAAGAAGCAATCGAAAGTATGAGAAAAAAATATATGTCTCTTTTAAATTTATTAGTAAACAACAAGATAAAATGTTAATTCTCTTTGTATCTGTAACACACTAAACTAATTTTGCAGTGTTCAGTACATTATATTACATTACACAGAAAAAAACTGCTTTTGTGAAAATAATGAAATAAAACATCAGTGTGATAGGAAATGTGTCATTCATACTCTTTCTGCACATGTATACTTTCAAAGTTCCAATTATTTGGCCCAATACTCCCAATTTCATATCATCCATCAAAATATTTATAATTAAAATCTTCAGTTATTTGTGTGTAAGAGAGAGGGCGGGGGAGATGCAAAGACAAAGATGGTCCTGAACTTTGTGATCCATTCTGATTTCTACCACAGGCTAGGCAAAGAGTTCTGCCCATGGTGAACAGCAGAGTACCACTAACACACATATTTCTCTTTAAGCAAGGTGTGATGTAAGTGAGGTGAAAGGGGTGTGATGTTTGTGGGTATGTGGATGGGGTGGGAGACTGAGTACAACTGACCAAGTTCTACCCATGATCATCTTTTAAAAATGTATCAACTGCATTGTTTACATTCTTATATATGTTCTGTGGCTTCTACAATTAAATCTCAGGGACTCTATTCTTCATACCCCAGTAGCTCAGCACTGTTTCTTAGAGTACTCTTCCAGACACTTTGAAATACTGGTTCCCCTTCCTCACAGCCCTTGATCTTTCTCAAACAATTCTGTAATATCTGTGGAAACTTTAAATGTTGAATAAGGGGAAGAGGGTGAATTAATACTTGGTATTCCTGTTCCAAAGATGTGGAAAGCCATGTCCTCTCTCTGTGACCTCCATCTTCTGCCATAAAAATGGCAAAAGAACTACCTAAATTTTATTCTGAACCAATGTGTAATAATTTTAAAGTCAAGAACAAAATCCCTGCCACGTTTGTGGCAGATATACATAATTCCAGTTACTTGGGAGGCTGAGTATGAAGGATCACAATTTTGAGTTCCTTCTCAGTAACTTAGCAAGGCCCTACCTCAAAATAAAATAATAAGTGATGGTGATATAGTTCACGAGTAAAGCATACTTAAGACCACTTCTTAGTACCACAGAAATAAAACACAATTTCTGTTCTCTTTCTATAAATTTAAAACCCTCAAAAAGAAGGAAGGGACTTAGGAATGATACTAGATCTTCTAAAAACAAGCCATATACTCTATATTTTAATGTTCAAGTTTTCACAACTTTCTAAAATATATTCCTAAGTATTTTGTTTTTGACATAATTGTCACTAGAATTGTTTTTAATTTACAATTTGAATATTTATTTTCTTTTGTACATAAACAACTGATAAATCTTGAATATTGTTAGTTTTCTGAGCACACACCTGTAATCCCAGCATCTTACAAGGCTGAGGAAGGAGGATCATGAGTTGGAGGCCAGCCTTCAGAAATAGCAAGGGGCTAAGCAACTCAGTGAGACCCTATCTCTACATAAAATACAAATTAGGGCTGGGAATGAGGCTTGGTGGTCAAGGGCCCCTGAGTTTAATCCCCAGTACAAAAAAAAAAAACTACTTTTGTCATTTTAAGTTAGTGTGTCTCCAAAGTTGAAAGTCAAAGATGTTTGTAGTTAACATTTTTAGTAAAGTGTTTATAGTGCAGAATATATGAAGTGTTATTCATTTTTTAGGGGGAAGAAAGACATGCCAACAGAGTACAGCACAGATGAGAAGTTTCAAAAATAGATTTCACAAAGGAGAAAACATTCAAATGACAAATAAATATATATGTGACTAATGGCCACAGAGATGATAATTAATAGGAATTACCAAGCCTGCCATGGCAAGGTAAAAGGTAAAGCCACCTGGAACATGGTGTGGTGCTATCTATTCACGCATACACTATGAACCATTAATTCTACCCCTGAAGAGAAGAAAAGTTGGAAACAAGATTCTCAGACAATGCTCTAACTGCCCCCATCACTGCTGCCTTTATCACTGGGAAAGGTCCCTCCAGCTGCCACCACACTCTGAAGTACAGGACCTTTCAGTCTGGACATTGGGACCCAGTTTTCACACCTGTCCCAACTTTGTCCCAGTACCACCTCAGAGAAGACCAGGAGGCAGTGAGACCACAATTAGTGCCAATGCTCTGAAAAATAAAAAAGAAGAAAGAGAAGTATAAGGCAAGCTGGAAAGAGCAAAATAAAGACGTGGAAGAGGAGGATGAGAGGGGGCTGAGGGGGAAGAAGAACTTGCTAAGGATGGAGAGTGAATAAACAGGATGCAGAAGATGAGGAAGAAGATAAAGTGAACCCCAATTGGAAGAAGACAGAAATTGGGATGACAGAAGGAAAATCTTTCCAATGAACTTGGGATGGATGTCACTTGGGAAATGAGAGTGGGAGGAAAAAACTAGGGTGTGAACCTTTCACCTGCTTGTAGCTTGGAGAACTGCACCAAGGATGTCACTCTCTTTTGTCACCCCTGCCTTCATATTTTCACCTCTCCAGATGCTAACACTCCCCCCTCACTGTGCCATTGTTACACCTTCTTTTCTGCTTCATCTGAGCTTACCACTGGTCCCCATTTGCCCCCTCCCCTTCATTTCTCTTTTCTTCCCTCCTCCCTCTTGCACTCTGGTAACCTCTCTTAGCAGCCCCCAGCCTCACATCTTGCCTCAGCCCTCTCCTTCATCTCTGGATTTGCCTCACATCCCCTCCAATCAGAGAGAAGCAGGCTGGGGTTGGGTCAATGTTGGCACCATGACCCTCAGTTGCTCCTTCTCCTCCCTTTTATGGATTAATGAGTAAAGAAGGAGTCACATTTCTGTTTTATTACAAGTTTGCTCATTTTTTAAAAAAATGCTTTAAGAGTATTAGATAGGAAAAAAAATACTTATCATTGGGGATCATGGAGTAGTAGTAAGAGGAAGAGGGCATGAAGGGGTTATTGGAGTACCATTAATGTTCTTTTTCTTGTAAGCAATAGAACATGGTATGTTTTCTTTGTGATAATTCAAGAATCTATATAATTTCAATATCCTCTTCTTGTTGTGCTCAGTAAGATCAAATTTATTATGTAAAAGTTTGTGGGGAAGAGCAGAAAAAAAGGATGTAAAAGGGAACTAGGTAACAATTTGTAGTAATTAATATGATAATTTTTTTATTGTGGTGTTGGTTTCTTGGATATGTACATAAGCCAAAAGATAAAGATAGATAGATTCCTAAGATGTATACAGGTTAATGTGTGTCTATCAAACCTCTATAAATGTAAAAAAGAGAGATGCAGCTAAAGCTGAGGTTTAAAAGAAAACATGCAGTCTTAGATCAGTAAGCCATAATAGCTTGGAAAAAAGTATACTTTATAAAAATAAGACTAGAGAAAAAAAATCCTAAGAAAAAGAGAAAATTTAGCAAATTTTGAAAATGAAAATACCACAAAAAAGAATCACCAATGTCAATGCTGGTGCTTTTAAAAAGCAAATAAAATTGAAAGAGCACTGGTAAACTTGACAAGTAAAAATCATGTCCATTATATACTATATAATGACATATATATGTATGTATACAATGATGTCTCCCTTGATGGGAATACATTATAGAAAATTCACTCTAAGATAATTCCATCATTTTCCAAGCATCTGAGTATAACAATAAAAATCTAGATGGCACAGAGTACTACATGGCTTGGCTATTTGCTATAGGCTTTGTTGTAAAATGAAGTCTACCACTGACCAAAATACCATAATACCACACATAACTGATGTTATGGTTTGTAACAATCAGTGTAATACTCACAATGAAATGCAAAAACTCTGGAACTCACTCAAGAAAAAACACTTAATTAAGTCCCTTGCTATTTAGACAACAGTAAATAAATGATAGAGATTGCAATGCAGAGAAGAAAAATGGCTTTCTTTCCAAAGAAAGATTTCAGGATAAATGGACATCTGTGTGATAATAAAAATGCTATGGTACTCTTCACTCAAATCATATAACACCTCATTTTCACATACTAAATACTGAATATAAAAATAATGAATAATAGTAAAATATAAAATAAAACATAAAGCATTCAAATGTTGATATAAGAAAGGGTGAGTCAGGTGCACACCTGAAATATCCAGTACTCTGGAGGCTGAGACAGGAGGAGCACAATTTTGAGACTGATCCTATCAACTGAGCAAAACTGTCTCAAATAACTTTTAATTGAGAGGCTGAGGCAGGAGGATTGTGAGTTCAAAGGCAGCCTCAGCAACAGCACAGTGCTAAGCAACTCAGTAAGACCCTGTCTCTAAATACAAAAATGGGGCTGGTGGTGTGGCTCCATGGTTAAGCGCCCCTAAGTTCAATCCCTTATAAAAAATAAATAATAATAATAATAATAATAAATAAATAACATTTAAAAAAGGGTGAAAATATAGCTAAGCAATAGGACATCCTGGTTTCAATCCCTAGAATCACAAAAGGAAAAAAGAACAAAAAATTATAGTTATTTATTTTCAAAGTTACACAAAATATTTTTAAATTAATGAAATACATAGTATTAAATTTAAAATTCTGTTGATCCAATACCATTAAAGGGTGCAAAATGAAGTGAAAGAGCAAAAGTAACTAATTTTCCTCACATATGATCAAACTATCAGTGGGAAAAAAATACTATCAGTGAGGAATAAAAAGATTGCAAAGAAAATGCATGCAAGAAAATGAATAGCCAATTTACATGAGATATTTAAGTGTTAAATAATCATAAAAACCCAACATCATTAGAAACTAGGTAATGTAAAATAAAATAAATGATATACCCCAAATTAAAGATTATGGATGAACATATGGAATAAATGAATAATCATGAAGGGAAGACAGAGTTTGAGATGTTGCCATCCATGTATGCAAACTGTTTTGCTATTGAAGATATCTGATATAGCCACACCAGAAATAGACTAAAACTATAGCACATGTATATATAAGAATACAGCAGTATTTCTTGATTAAAGAGAATGAACATTTATAAATTGATAAATAATAATCTGATATAGCCACACCAGAAATAGACTAAAACTATAGCACATGTATATATAAGAATACAGCAGTATTTCTTGATTAAAGAGAATGAACATTTATAAATTGATAAATAATAAACTGTGGGAAATAATGGTTTATAGAAGAAGACACATTTTTTCATATTAAATCTAGTGGAAAAACTAGTATAAAGCACCATGTAATTTTTTATATGTCACATGAATGTTATATGTCATTTATAAGGTTATAAGTGGCATGTTATATGTTATGTGTTACTTATAAGGTAAGCATATTTTAAAAGAAAATCTTTAGAATTTGAGAAAATAAAAATACATAGAAGCACAGAAAAGACTCAGTTACACACCCCATGTGTAGATGACAAAACCTGTCATTATAAAGATGACCATTTCCCCCAGGTTATTCTATAATACCTCATAAAAATTTCAACACACTTTACTTTAAATTGAATAAGAGACCAAATCAAAAAGTTCTAAAATTCTGCTGGAAGGTTAAATATATATGAAATTAGCTCTGAACTCTGAATGTAAAAGAAAAAGCAGCAGCTCTCATTACCTGACACTAATGTACATTATAAAACTCTAATACTGCAATAATTTGAAGACCAATAAATTATAATGCAGAAAATTTCATAAACTCATATGTATGTACAAATCATTGTTACTGTTAAGTGCAATAAAAGAGTCTGTACAAATGCAACCATATGACGAAAAGTATTTGATATGAGTGAATGACACAACCCAACATAAATATAGATGTTAGAACTGGAGGCACAGATCATTGGTAGGATTTGGGTGCAGATTACGTTTGGTACTAGAATTATACCCCAGCCCCCCAAAAAAGCAGATGTTAAGAGGGATGATTTTCAAAATATAGCAGAAAAGGAGGCTCCTGACACTCCCTCCATTCATGGATACACCAAATAAACAGTTACTCCTAAAGGCATAAATAAATAAATTGAGAGACTTGTGTACATTGGACAACTGAGAAAATATCTACCATCAGATGAGTAGAAAAAGTTGATGGACACGTGGACACTAGTCCTGCCTTAAGAAATGTGCCATACAATTTGGACATTAAATCCACTGTCACTCTGAGTAGAGGAAGACTGATTGGGATGATAAATATAGCACATTTAATGCTAGATTTCTTATAGGTTGAATCTTAGTTTATCTGGTGCATAGAGAGGAAAGGATTATATATATACAAGTATCAAGACCAGAGGAAAGGAAAATGGTATCTTTCCATGGCTATGCAAGATCAATGAATGGGTTACATTCCCTGGGACCAGAGCAGAGGAGGACTGAAATCTCAAGGGTCCCACTTTATCCCTGGAATGAATTTGTCAGCATACTCTGCAAAATGCTAATGCTAACAGTTGAGCCTTTATCCTGCCAGTACCAAAGAGTTAATAGGGAAAACACAGTCCAGCATTGGCAACCCAAGTGGAAGCTCAGCACTGCCTGAGCCCTCTTTCCCATCTCACTTCAATATTAACTCCAGACCTAACTAATTGTTCATATAGGAATTTGCTCTTGCACTGAGAGTTAAAGTTAAAAACTTTAACTTTTTCCATTCAATACACTACATCCTAAACCTCCAAATTTTTGGAGCAATGGCAACTGTGCATGTGCAAATCTCCCTAGATAACAAAAGAGGGGCTTCAGATTGATGTATGAGTATTTCTATAGGCTACAATCCCCACCAGGAGTAAAGAAAAAGGGCTAAAAATCACAGATCTCTGTTTCTTTCTAGAATAGGTTTACATCACCTTCTTCCAGTGAGTACATAGCAGCCTAGAGTCTAACAAACTTGCATCAGGAATTTAGTCACCAGCCAAGTATGAGAACTTCTGCATCCTGAGCACAGCTATTAGAATGGCTACTATCAAAGAGTTGAAGGATAACTAGTACTCCAATTATATGGATACGGAAGAAAGAAACACTTTCACACTGGGCTAGAATATAAATTCAATAACAGTCATTTTTTTTTAAAATAGCATGAGAGTTCTTTAAAAACTAACACACTATTTCCAATGGAATTGGAATTAGTATGTTAAAAAATGGCTACATTGTCATATTCATTATAGCAGTATTCATAGAAGCCAAGA